TTCGTCGACCGACGCTACTAACGACACCGACAGTTGTCGGTAAGCGTGTACAGAATAGCCCCCCTGGAGCAGGTACATTAGCACGGATATTTCAATCGTGGACAAGGAATTTTTATTCTGTGCAACTCTAATTCGTAGAATATTGCATTTAACATAAACGTTTGCTTTATCGGTAAAAAAGAAGACTCCAGCATCCCCTTAAGGCGATACTAAAGCCTCCTGTTTTACTACATTTCCATTCGGTGAAAAATATTTGTATTGAATGTACAGATTGCAAAAGTATTATTACTTATAGCGTTTTCGATTGGGGTGCACTGGCTGCACTCAGTGTCAAGAGCGTGTTCGATTGGCAGTGCCAATGAGCACTTGGCTAGTGTCACGTGTTCATTTGATCGCACGACACTCGCGTAGTGCGAACTCAGTGCGCACTAAGTGGCACGAGATATTTTGACGGTGCCAGTTCAGTGCACGTTTTATCACAGTTAAGGATATACATAGGGACAAGCAAATCTGCGCAGTTGAATTGAAAACGGGGTCTTGTCCCTACTCTTAATATCTTTTACTGTAGTTTTGTAACATTTTGTTGAACATTGCTTCAAAGTGAACAAAAATGAGTTTCAGCTTTAGCACTGAAAATCTTGGCGTATTCTTTTGAACTTGCACTATTCAGTGCAACCCATGGAACTCGTCCAGTGTTGGTGTGAACTGAGTGCGCACTGGTGCGCACTAACTTTTGCCCAATCGAAAACGCTATTAAATTAAAGTATGCACAAACAGGACCTAAGCTGCACTAGATTTCATGAGAAAATCGAAAAAAAGTTTAAAATTCGTTAAAAATTCACTTACTTTTGGCTCGTACAGCTGTCACCTCAGATATATATTTGCTTGATATAAGAGTTTAGAGTCCATATCTTGAAAATAAGCGTACAGCTGAGGTCACATTATTGAAACGAATGGGGTGATCCCGATTGATCACGGCTCGATTGGACACCACCAATCACAGCGATCGGTGCTTAGGAGCTTTGTAGTCTCAAGCGCTGTGAGTGGCTCGTGTCCAATTGAGCCGTGTCCAACTGGGTGTCACCCGAAACGAACGATACCGAGTTTGTAGAACTAAGATTGAAAGTCTAGAAAAGAAATATTTTCACCGAATAGGAAATACGTGTATACAAGTGCTTTATAAAGACTGGGACTGTCAACAAAACCGAAATTCCGTGTAGAAATAGTTGCGCGGTCTTGCGATAGATGGTGCTGGCATATGTTAGATAAGAACAGATGTATACGTTGAGTAAAGCTGGAAACACAATAGACACAGGCAACAGGGAATAACGAGCCGTCTAATCAGAGCTTTGGGGTATAAGTTCGATATTATATCCCGGAGCTCTGATTGGACGGCTCGTTATTCCCTGTTGCCTGTGTCTCCAGCTTAAGACAGAATGAACATATATTATATAATATAATGTAAAAACTAAATCAAAGATGTCACCACTATTATCGAATTTGGAATTTAAAAAGTCTGTATTATCGATCTTGATCGAGTTGGGTAATCGGTTTAGCATCCCCTTAATACGTATTAAAAATACACAACGTCATTAGAATGTGCGAGAGACCATCTTGATTCTTTCCATAAAGAATTAATTTTTCAAGGAGGTTATTTTTACCATAATTTTTCAAATAATTAACATGTACATTGTTAAATTTTTGAATCGTTTGCTGCCGTTGAAACATTGCTGTTGTTCCATCCATTCTCAAGGAAGTACACTTTTCACGTTGCAAAAGAGACTCAAAAATGTGCATCATCTGTGTACAAAGAAAAATAAGCATGGAAAATATAGTTTATTTGGCTAATCAGTTATATAATAACATGTCTAATATAATAATTCTAATAAGTAATTTGAATAATTCGAAAAACACAAAACTGAGGTCCGTATTCAGAACGCGCTTACAACGATGTTAGCACGCTAACATACTATACTTTACGTCACGTATATTATAGAATTTCAGAGATAAAAGTGCGCTTTTATCGATAAAAACGTATTCTGAATACGGGCCTGAGTATTTTTGTAAAAAAAATTTAAAATATTATATAATATTTATTTATAAATATCTCTCAAAAGTATTCCATAATATTTTTAAAAATTGGGCGAATATAAACAATTTATTTAAACATAAAACTTTTTGTGAACATATATTTTATATATTCAAAAAAAGATCATATTTACCTGTCTTCCCTGAGTAAAAAGTAGCACTCTATGACCTTGTTTCTGCCAGATTTTCAGAAGAGATCATACCACTGTCATTTTTCCAGAACGTTTATAATATCCGAACTTCTCTATTTGTTCGGATTCTGATGAAAATATCGGACAAACCGATATCATCGGAATCCCGTAATTATAAGCCCGTATTCACAGTCGATGCCGAAAAAAATCAAGGATGCCAATGCTGTTTGATTCTACTGTATATTCTTATACTGTGAGTACATGATTTGAGCTAAAGATGGTATATAAATAAAGGCTCAAAACTTTGAAAAATTTTATTATAAACTCCTTTTTGCTACCTAGATTAACATGTACGCAGAGCAAAATGATAATTATAATAAAATATTTGCATTGATTGATAAAAATTGATATTAACTTGACATTATTCTGTGCATAATAAATAGGGTATAATACATTATTCGGTATAATAATGACTATTATGACTTAACAATACTCGAGATATCGTGTCATGTATGTATACTGTTGCATAAACATTATTATATATGTATATATAAATATTTACATACACACATACACACACATTAACACGTGCACAAACTTATACATTAAAGATATTCAGCTCTCAAAAATCAAATCTATGCCTTTGTTATTGCCGCAACTAGGAAAGTTGATCGGTACAAGCGGCAAGTTTCGCTGAAGACCTACTCTCATTAAGAATTGCAATCCAGGCCCGAGTAATGGAGGATATACAGCAGTACTTCTCGCTTCCCACAGCCAATATCCTGATAAGCAGTCACGGTTAAATCAAATTTACTATAAACTATAGATAGAATAGACACGCACACACGCACGCACTCCCCCCCCCCCGCGATAAATATTTAACAAAATATTTTTACCTAAATTGTCGGTGTAAAAACGAAGAATGGTATATCCTCTATTCGGTACGACAAAAGTATCTTTTTGCACCGGATTCACAAGATTTCGATGTATTTTTCCATTAAGATCCAAAGATATAATATCATCTTTGGTAAGAGGTTGCTCAAAACTTTCTCGGGCAACAATACTGGCATTGTAACCATGTAAATGAAACGTATAGGATGCATTGCCTCCAAAACCTGAGAAAGATACGATTTCTATATATACTAGTTTTACTAATTTTTGAAACTGGTAATTTTATAAAATTTTTTTATTTTACATTTACCGGATACGTATTTTGTTACGGCACATTATATTCTTTTATTCAAATAAAAAAACATCAACTACCTCAAGGATTGAGTTTATCCGCGGTAATTACCTTTGTTTATTAATATAATTTCAATTGTTTTTCGAGGTGGAACTTGGAGTAATTGCAAACACTCGCAAAATAACAGTGTATCGGCACATTCCTTAGAGCGTTTGTCAAGAGAACAAACCGATTTTTCCAAGGTATTTTCTGGTTGCGATAGTATCGGAGATGGCGGATATTTGAAAGACATGCCATTAATCTGCGGTATCCTTATCGCGCCTTTTTGCAAGCCTGAAATTTTTCCTTGATATATAATAATGACAAAAATATTATTATAGCTTTATACTGTAGAAAACAAATATGTTTCAATTAAGTATGCGTGATACAATTGACACCTATATGATTATATTTCTTAATTCTTCTTAGTTTTATGAGTTTTATCCCTCTTTTTGCACTTGATAATCTGAAGTATCGTATCATTAAATGAGTAACCGTTTCATTTTTGGTGAATAAAAATGTTTTTCAATGATTAAAAGTAATTTTCAATGATAAATGATAAACGAATTTTCTTACTTAAGTACGCTGGATAATATCTCGATATATAAAAATTGTAGGAATTGTCTGTCATTTCATCTGTAAAAAATGAGAAAGTGTTTGCGTCGAAGGGTACATAGATCGTTTCATCTGCTTTTTCCTTCAATTGCGATAATTTTGCATTCTTCAAATCCAAAGAACAAATGACATTTTTTAATATTCTATGACAGTGATGGCCATTTTCTGCGATTTTAAATGACTGTTCGTCAAAGTTATTATCGGTTGTAGTCCTTATCGTGTATGAATCAAGAGCGGCATTTTCGTAAAAAATATATGCTTCTTGATGTAAATTGCGACATTCCCGAAGACCCTGAATATCGAAGGCGTACTTGCCGATTGCCTGTTCAGCCATTAGAATACCATCGAGTCTCTCGCCTGAAAACAAATTCAATATTTAAGTAAATCATTAAATAATTTATACAATTCTCTGCGTCTTATTTCACATGTTGGTTCTTTCGAATAAACTATGTGATAATTTATCTACTGAATAAACAAAAAGGTAAAAGAATAAGAACATAAGAAAGTAAGACAGTGAGCTAAAGTTTACCGAAAGGTGGAACAACTAGCTTTATTAATATTTCATAAAAAATAATCAATTTTTCCATAAAATTTTATTGAATTTTATAAAAGTCTATCAAAATGAAGCTATTAAAGCGAGTTTAAATCATAGGAATCACATCATCACGTGACAATAACATTAATATATACAATTACAGTTTTTATTGAACAAAAATGTACAAATCTCAACATATATATACATATTTATGTACACACACACATACATATAGATGTATATAATATAAAGTTTATTCTAAAAATATATTGAAATAATTGCGAAGACTATGGAAGTTTATTTTTAAAGAAAAATATAGGCTTGATCGTATCGACATATATTTAACTAAAATTTCGCTAAGGATGAAGAATGCTTAAATCAATTAATGATCAAACAACAATCACTGAATTTATATATTGATGAATTATTTTGAAATTGTAGATTATTTGGCTTATAGTTTTTTATTTTCTACTTTTTAGAACTGATATTCAAATGTTAACAACTTATTTGTGCTCCTTATTAATATTTCTGCCACAATATTAATTTTTGAAAAATATTAACCAATAAATGCTACGTGTGCATTTATTTTCATTTGCTTCAGGCAAACATTTCAAGATTAATGGGGACATGTTTTTTGCGCTGAATACTGAGACTTTATGTATATTCTTTAAATAATAGAACGTCGACACGATTAAATCGATATAAATATTACAATGTATGTTTAATTCACTAGTATAATAATTCACTTCTCTATTGATGTAAGACTGACGATTGTATCGAAGAGGGAAATCATATATCGTGTTACAAGTTAATACAAATTTGTAATTGTTATTCCGCTATTAAATCGACTCTGTTATTCTAGACACTTAAAATCTTAGTGCTCTAAGAAAGAGTAAAGGATCTTAGCAGATTGGTTGACTTATAATCTTATGAGAAATATAAGACAACCAGAGATGGACAAAATGGCTGCTCGAATCTATTTGAAATAGAAAATGTAAAATTGCTGTAATCTTTCTATTTGGAAATATAAACTACAAAATGGGTTTTAGACACCTATTTAAAATAGAAAATCGAAAACAGACATTTTTTAAGTGCTTTTTCCAAATGGTTTTTTAAAAATGGATTTTTAAAAACGGTTTTTTAAATATTCTTACATTTATTTTGCATGTTTAACTTACATTTATATTAATTTAATAAAATATGCATTTTTTAAATATAATATATATAAACAAAAGATTTATACAGGGTGTAACTGAAATAACGCCCACTAATCATACAGTGCTATAGTTAATAAAAAAAACTGAGTCGAAAGGTCATCTACCATTTTGCAATTTTCGCAATAGTTAAGGAGACATTAATTTCTAAATATTGCTGAATAAATGAGGTCTGTTTTTTATTGCTGCACTCTGAACCGGTGCAATAAGTTGAAGTGAAATAAATATACGTTTATTTCACTTCATCTTATTGCACTGTGTGTACCAGTTCAGAAAGTGCAACAATAAAAAACAGACCTATGGATAAAATCGATGTATAAGACAATTTTGAGATATCTTTCCCTGTTCTTTGTGAAATATTTTGAAGATTTTTCTTAAAGAACTCTTAAAGATATCTTAAAGCAGATAACTATTAATGCCAATCTAAATATTTTTTAATTGTATTTCAAATAGAAAATGGGCATTGAATATCATTTAAATGGAAACGTAAAGTAGTTTTTGAAAAAATATATTTTAAATACAAAATATAAAATGAGCATTTTGCATTTTGTATTTCCATTTTAAATGCATCTATTTCAAATAATGCCCATCTCTGAAGACAACGTCTTATAACCTAAGTCTTTTGTCTTTAGTAACGCACAATAACTGTCTTGTGACTCAAGTCTTAAAGGTGTATACATATACATACGAAGTGTCACACCTTGGACTTGAATCACAGTTATTGTGCGTTTCTAAAGACAAAAGACTTAGGTCATAAAATATTGTCTTAAGATTATCAGTCAGCCATTCTGCCAAGGCCCTAACTATATTTACTGATCTACATCGAGTTATCGATGATTAAGTATTGCGCTTTAGGAAATTAAACTAGTGTGATTCTCTCTCTCTCTCTCTCTCTCTCTCTCGCGCGCGCGCGCGCGTGTGTAACATGCATTCATATGTAATATTATCCTGGTGGTGATTGCAAACAAAAAATATCTCGTACTCATTCATATCTCATTGTAACCGACAGTTTTTCAAAAAGGAAGAGATTCTTATCCTGCTGGATTACATGTATTCTTTTTGCATTCTTTTGCTACGTTCAAAATCATGTAAAAAATAAAGCTAGAAAGTTAAATTAATCAACAAACAATGCAACAGTCAAATTGTTTAAATAAGAATAATATAAACGGGGAAAAAATATAATATATCGACATTTTTTATATTGATAGTTTTTCTGTGGAACGCGAAAATAAACATAAATATAATAAACACTGATGTTGCTTAGCTTGGAAAATAAACAATCAGTATTTGATATCGACAAATTCATTTAATCACTTGGAAAAATTGTCTATTATACAGTCTTGATCATCGATTCAGTCTTTAGAAGCATCCGGCTTGTAAAAAGACGCGGACGGCGATCATCATGCCATGCTGGCATTCGTTTTAATATTGCACACTTATATACCGAAATCGTCTAATTCTCTAAATCGTAATAATTTAAATTGTTTTATTTGTCCAAAAATTAAACGTGTTATAAATAAAACAAATGGAAGCTGTATGAATATTTATTTCATTGCGGTACTCTATTCAAAACGCATGCTCGGTCGATGGATAATGGATAGAATAGTTTCTTCTGTCGAATAATTTTCATTGTTTTATTTGCGGCGAGTCTTTCTTTTGTCACAGTCCTATTATAGTCGTTCTAAAATCTCGGTTAAAAGTGAATTACAGCTCGTTAGAGCCTGTTATAGGAAAAGTTCGAACGAATCAGCATCGTAAATTGAGATCGATAGCGATGATGCGCCATGAATGCGAATCGCAATATTTTCCATGTTAATTATTCCACATTGATTTGTGCTGATACTAGCGAACTTGCTCATTAGCGACGCGTTTGCGCATAGATCCCGATCTCCGCTTCGAAGAGAATCTGGTTGATCCTGAGTTTGGCGACCGATCTCGAGTAAGAGTCGGGGATCTCGGCGAGCTGCACAGCAATACTCTCGCCAAACTTGGCAAACTCTTCCTTGGTCTTTTTTCGTTTTTTCTCGTCCGGTGGGCGAAGCTCGAGTTTCATCTGTTCGGACTCATCAAGACCGTTCTGGCTCGGCAAAGAACCATTGTACAACTCCATTGCTTTCATACTGGACGACGAGGACTCTTCGGCGTCCTCACTGAGCGAGGCGTTGAAGGAACCAGTACCAGAGCCGTTTGTCTCCTCGTTGCAATCCATGAATGTAATACTTTCTGGATCGATGTTGCTCACAATATATTCTTCTTGTAGTTTCGGTTCCTCTTCAACTTTCTGCGAAAAGGGATCAAGTTGTATCAGGAACTTTACCGCGCTCTGACATAAGAGCAGAATTAGAAAGGATTTCCTCTTTCTGTCAGTCTCGTAATTATTTTGTTTAATATACAAACGAATTACGAGCGTTTAATCGTATCACGTTCGCACGACTCGATCCTAATCTCACGTTCTGATCTCCGAGAAAGACTTGCGTCGAAGCTTTCACGCGTATTGATTTTCTTTCATGAAACTTGGAAATTGCATCGCTATTACTATAGTAAGTATATCATTGCAGCGTAAATTGTACAAAGTATTTATAAAAATGCTCGTTGAAAAACGATGATTTTTAAATTTAAATACTAAATGGAAAAATTATTTAAAATATCTGACCTTATGCAATGGGTCAATGTTGGCGCTTGTGTATAGTCATCGCTCTCGTGCATGGACTCAACGATATTAATTAACGACAAACGAATTGTTCAAAGGGGGAAGGGGAGGGGGAAGGGAGAGATCGGACATGGATCGAGACGTTTCGGATCTTCATCTTTACTCAAATTTTCGGGAAGCGGACACATCGCCACGCGTCGCCACGGGCCAATGAAATGCTTATCTCGACCAGCGACGCGTCGCGTTACTCGTTGGGATCCAAGTTTCGTCGTCGTTCGCCACCATCGTTTGCGAATCACGACATGTATATATCTACGTACTTATAGGACTGTAAGATATAGGAGATGTAATCTTTTTTAACGAACTAAGCGAAGCATAATTACAGCCGAGATTATTTCCTAAGACACATTTTTGAATGGTGCAGATAACTTTAAATCGTCATTTTAATCATCTTGTAAAATTACACGAGAAAAAAATTAGCTAGTCAACTCGACACAACATTTTCTTTTATCAAAACATACAAGGTTGGGCAACGAGCCAGATATAAATACAAAAGACTTAATATTTAATAATATTAGATTACATACAAATGTTTCAACTCCGATCGAGTCATTTTCAATGTTAGAAAACAAATTTAAAATTGCATAACCAAATCAGTCCAGATGTAACAAATTCATCTTTGTAAAATTGTAATTATCATATCTTGTTTTTTACAAAGATGAACTTGTTACATTTGGACTGATTTGGTTATGTAATTTTTGACATCACTTATGGAGGAAAAAATTTACCAGTATTTATGACGATTATATATTCAGACATTATTTGTTAAGGTTTATATATTCCGACGTTATTATTCTGTAATTTTAAATTTGTTTTCTAACATTTTGAAAATGACTCGATCGGAGTTGAAACGTTTGTATGTAATCTATTATTAAATAGTCTTTTGTATTTATATCTGGCTCGTTGCCCAACCTTGTATGTTTTGATTTATTCTAATCGAGCCATTGTATTTCTCTTTGTTTTCTTTTATGTTTACCTTTCCATTTCATCGTTTGTTTTATTACTTATTAGACAAATTATTTGCGAGATCGTATATTTTAGTAATATAATAGATATGTTTTCGTAAAAATGAAACAAAAAGAACACTTGAAATTTCTACTCAACAGTCAGAAGAAACCCGATAGATTTTCATTATTCGCTATCGCGCGTAATATGATTTAACACCAAGAATCAACCACAACAAGAACAATATACCGAGCGCATTTCCCTTATCGTTATCGTTAGAAATCTCGAGAGATTTGAAATGATTTGGGCCATTTTAGGAAATGAGTATTCCTCTACCTTCTTCCGCTTGCTGTATTTACGCGTTCCAAATTGTAGGAATTGCATGGCTTTGAAGGCGAACCACTTGGAGACGTATACGTCGTCTGGACCGGTGGCGGCGTCGCGACTGTTCTGTATCTTGTGTATTTCCCGAGAATACTGGCACTTTAGATTAGTGATCTTCTTCTCAACCTCGAGAGTGTTGCAGCTGAGAATCTCGGCAAGCTCTTGTATAGCTCGTTTGCGCTTCGCCCGGTCGCGATAGCCTCGGGCGTTCCAATCCCAGAGGACGCGTCGTTGTTGATACTCACGTAGCAGCTCCAGAGTTTTGTCGCGGGTCCACTCCATGCCGATGCCGCGCGTCTCGCTACTGGTCAAATCGTCCCAAAGCCCGTGTTGGCTGTACATGTAAGAGATACCTCAGGACGGAAGATATAATGTGTCGGTGCGACAACGTAGAAGACAGTTTCCTCGGAGATGTCACGTCGCGCGTGTGAACAAGCGAGCGGTTTAGCGGTGTAGTCCAAGTCAGTCCAAGTGGCAGACGACGCGGTTGCCTTCTGTACCCTGTACTCCTGTCGTTGTCGTCTGTTAATAAATCACGGACCGGTACGTCAACACGACGTAAGCCGTAGCCGCGAAACAAGCACGCGTTTTAATGATTTTTGCGCGAGCCTCGCGCGCTTCGCTACCTTCCTTTCTTTATTTCTCTTTGCGGAAACCCTGGCGGGAGCACGAAGACGGCCGAGTCTGCGCGAACGTTAGCCTTCCTGCCATGCCTCGTACTTCTCACTCTCGCCGTCCACATCGTTATTCGAGCCTATTAATGCCGTTGAGAGAGAGAGAGAGCGAGAGAGAGGGGGGCGGGAGAATTTCCCTCTCTCTCTCTCTCTATTGCCGATGCCACCACCGCTGTCGATCCTGCTGATACTATCAATATGCTTTCCTCCTTTCTTCCTTGTTGCTTTGTAAAGTTTCAAGCGCAGAATCGCGTTAAAGTCAAATCGAGCACAGGACATTCTGGTCTTTAACTATTATTGAGTATATTCCATGCTTCGTAGTATTCATTTTTCTAAATGTTCATTGTCGACAATCTTCTTCATCGTTCATCTATTCTTGTCACTGGCCATGAATAAATTAAATCCGCGCGTTTGCGAGATTTTAACGAAGGCCTTGTATCTACAATTTAAAAAAAAAAGTGCTTCTTCGTACGTGCGAATCTGAAACAACTCTCTCTTCTCTCCTGCGAATCTCCCATCCGATTATCGGTGTCTTTCTTGGTGCAGTAGGTATGTAAATCGCGAGAGTAGTTACGTTGAAGTATGTGTGAAAGATCGATCGAAATCCATTTCTTCCTCTCATGCACGAAATGTTTCTTGCTTTAAGACACCAAAGTATCTTCCATCGTATTTGTAAAATCATCATTACATGATTTTGATTCTAGTTGATAAGTTTGATGATAAATAATGGTACGTTTCACTGATTTTTAAATGCGAATGCTATTAAGTCGTCACTTCGTCTTATTTATTGCAGTCAATCTTTATTACGAAATGTTTACGCGTAATTGAATATACCTAATGGACGATATTTTTATGTATGTACCTACGTACGTCTTAATCATCTTACTCGATTCCATTTTCAAAAGACTTTAATGTCAGACAATATTATACGATAAAGCTCTAACGGTAGGCCTGCTTTATACCTTAGGATCTAGCGCAATAAGTATTCTTTACGCACGTGCAATATATACATAATATACGTGCGTTAGATGATTTCTTTTTTGTCTCTCACTGTTCCATTGAAAAATAATTTCAAATTCAATGAATCAAGGTACAATTTCGCTGTTTGCACTCTTTTCTCTCTCTTAAGTGTATCAAAGACGTGTGTATGTAAAATCGTGTACAAATATATTTACATTTGTATAATATGCAAATATGTTTGTATAATACAAAAAAGGTTTAAACCATTGCAGTATAAAATTAATTAGATTCAATGTGTATAGCATTAATAAAGAAAGACTGTGGATACAAGGGTGGGATAGAGCAATCCGTGAATTGAAAACGTACCTGGAAATAAAACGACATGCATGCCCATCATCGATTGTACAGGGTTGCCATCAGCAGCAAGTATTTGAAGCGAATGTCCATGGATGGATAATAAAATGGGACAATCGTGAGCATTTGCATTAATGAGGCGTAGTAAATAGCGAGATCCATGCTTCACTCGCACAACCACTTGCCGCGCCTATAAAAATGTTAAATATTCTTTAGGTCGTCGTTGACGTATCCAAAGTATCTATGCTGTATCTACGTCGCAATTGGCAATTATATTCGCATCGCCCAACTCAATAATCTTGATCCCACGGCCTTAAACCTGGATTACCTGGAGTTGGAACCAGTGAATGTTTGTGGGGAGGTATGGACTGGGAGATACGGGCTATGTTCTAAGGAGGCTGTATACCTGGCCATTTACAAGGAGCTCGTCCGGCGTAGGTGGCGAAAGGCTTGCATGTCGGAGTCGCGTCAATGGAACCGACGACCTTGATGACAGGACGAGCGTCCTTTCTAGACTGAGATCCTCGTCCCGCAGTCCTCGAACTACCAACGACCCGTACACCCCGTCGCCCTGCTGCGAGACTAATGGTCCCTTATATTTCTCTCTTCTTTTTGGAGTGTTTGGAGTTAGCGCGACCGCTACGCTACGATTTTACGCAACTCGTGCCGTGCCTCGCCTCGCCACGCCTCATCGCGCCTCGCCCTCGCCTCGGTTCGGCTCGGCAGGCACCGAGGCACGCCTTCGTCAGCTTCGTCTTTCGTTTCGAGTCGAGAATGTCGAGTCCTGTCGAGATCCTTTGAAACGCGATAGCGCGAAAGGCGCACACAATGGATACTTTTCTTCTCCAATTAGAAAGATGCTTCGCGGCGCGTATATCATTTTTGATTGAACAAATTTTCGATAAATTTTCAAAGAGGACGTAATTTTTATCCGCGCAGCGAAAGAAGCAGCGAGATACGCGGCGATTCCTGCTCTTTCGGGATACCGCGAACTCGTTATTGATCTTGCTTCTCTTGATGCGCGAGCGCCGCGGATAGATGTATTACGTTTCGTTCTATGGCGTAGAATCGGAGTTGTCGGAGTCAAAATCCGAGCGAGTCGACTCGAGCGTAAACCGTGTAAACTCGTGACAGGACAATCCGCGATCCGCACAATTTTTTTCTTCCAATTTATTTAATTCTTTTACTCGCTTCACGTTGACGCTCGCACGTTGAAGTAGATTAGAGGTTAAACAGAAATAACAGAAAAAAACCGGAAAAAAGAATCGCAACGTAATAAAATCATTCAAGTTCGTTAAAAATTGAAAAGATAAGGAAAATATTAGGAAATTGCGATAATCCATATATATCTACCTGAATGAGCGTGATAAAAGTACGTTCCCGTGCTCTCGGGAATTATCTTGTAACGAAAGCCACCGAAGGGTAAGATAGGGCACTGCGTTATCATAGGCACCCCGTCCATGTAATTGGAATCCTTTTGCCGGATTCCATGCCAATGGAAAGCCAATTCGTCACTTCCCAACTTGTTATAAACGAGAACCTCTATCGTATCACCGAGACAAATCTATCATAAAAGTATATTCTGTTATAAATGTCTTTAATCACTATATATAATTGTCAATATCGATAATTGTCGCTCGTCTCGTCTCGTCATGAAAAGAACCGAGCGTGCGAAAAACGTTTAATTTTTAAGAGTCTGTTTTCTGTGACTGGACTAAAATACACTTTTGAAACTTGAAGAGAGTTCTACTGCAGGAATAGAAAACAGAATATTTAAGTATATATCAACGAATATGGCCGTAATCAGGTTTATAATAACACGGAGAGTAGACGGTTAAATCGATTAAACCGTTTAAATCTACCTTCGCGCGATATGTCCATGTTAAATATATATGCATCAATCTAATCTACGTTTTAAAAGAATCAACATCGGAGGTTTATATTCAAAGTAAATAATTATTTTATTGTTAAATATAAGCTCTCTTGATGTAATAAAATACAATGTTTAATTGAACAATCAATGAACTCTGGAATAAATATAATAATGGAGCAAACTCCGAGACACGACAAACAACAATTATATTAGTATTCGATCTGATATCAAGTTTTGTAATAAGAATCTTAATCATTAATACAATAGAAAGATCTTATCAATATCCTATTAGTAATTATTCTATAATTATATCTCTCCTATCTTTACACACGTGGTGAACTCACCAAAGTCCAAACGGAAAAAGGGAAGATCGCTGAACGATGAATTCCGATTCTATCTTTTTTTCATTTATTCGCGCACGTGTATACCGAGATTAACTCGATCGCAATTACTGTTCTACAGTCTATATATGTTAAAAAGTAATTTACAATTTGTCAAAATTAGTTTTGCTTTACGAAAAACGTGAGTAATATTATTTAATGCTAACGTTCCCTAACAACACAGACCTCCAAAGGACGTCCTGAGGATATCCGAAGGACGTCCATATGTCCTTTGAACATCCTAAGGACATCCTCAGGATGTATCCCGGATAAAGTGTGTTATTGGGGATTGAGAGAAAAAAATATTTTTTTTTCTATAGTTTATTTTTTATAAATATATTTTTTTAGCGAGTATACTCACTTGTATAGCCGGTCCTGGACTTTTCCCGTTAATCGCCAAAAAGCTCCTTATTGATCGCACGGTAATATTTTCGCCGCTTCCCTCAGATTTGTCGTAGAAACTGCTAATTTTATCAATAATAATAATATTTTAATGATACGTATCAGTATTAATAGGAGTAAAGTTTCGTAATATAAATATATATTTTTTTCGCGTTTAAAATTAAAAAAATGCAGCGAATAAATAAGTCGAGAGCGAATTTTGTCAAAGGTTTTCAATATGTATAATATTTTTTTTTCCCCGCAATATCTGTATTAATATAATATTTTCACGATATATTACAGTTGTATGCGTGTTGAAAGACGTGAAGGGAGAGTGAAGGGAGCGAAATGTGTGTCAGCGCTTTTTCATATATATTATATATAATATTAAATCGCACATTTTCTCCGACAAGTAAAATATCAGTAGTATCGATGCAACATCAGTGAATCTGGATAATTGTTACTTGACAAACTCGATTACGTATGTGTGTGTGAATTACTAAAATTAAAAGTATATAATAATCAATAATAAATCCGTACATTCGATATACATATAAATGAAACTCACTATTTTCAAATTCGTGAATAGCGGCTCTTATTCTCGATTAATAACTGTTTTATCTATATAATAAAAACAATCGAAAGAAACGGGCACCGGGATGTTAAGATCGAAGGATTTCACTCGATAAGTATACGTTTCACAAAAGAAGCACGGAGAAATGGTGTAATAAGCGCGTCACACAAAGTTTACGCCAAGACGCCTGTATTATCAGCCATTATGTGGCGCGCTTCCGCCGAGTCCGAGTCACAGTTTGCGTATACGATGTGTATGTGTAGGTATCTATAGTGTACGTATATTACGTGCAGCAGATTATGCACAATGTTCAGCGATGTTGGTCGATTCAAGATGGTATCTGTTACCTGAACGCCACAATCATGATTAACCGTTAAAACACCGCATACCAATCCGCGACCGCAAGTATCCGTTGCATTTGCATCCTACAATGCACTTCGAAAGAGATAACGGGGAATATCACCGGATCTCTTTTTCTCTCTCCCCCTCTCTCACACGCCATTCTTCTCATTTTTTTTTATAGCGCGCATTTTTAATTAACATATCACGTCCTATAGACAACAAAGTGTCTAAAATCAGGCCAAACGTCTTTTGCATCTAAAAGATGACTTAAAGACATCTGATATCACAATTTTAGATTTTGTCTTGTTTAGAGTGTTATTATTAGGTGTTAAACTTAATTCCTGCCGTTTTTCGTCTCTAAAATTAATTTGTTTCGAAGGGAAGATGAATGAATACCTTAATCAAAGTAATTTCTTCCATTTTCTACTTTATTACTAATTAATAATACTTTATTAATAATACTTTGATTAAAGTATTTCTCTTTGAAACAAATCAATTTTGGAAACGAAAAAAGGCAGGAATTAAATTTAACACCTAATAGATTATTTTATCAAGCCCCTAAAGTTTTTTTTAGCTTACAATACTTTCTCACGCATGTACATTACAGCGGTAATATATGTTAATTTACAAATCAATTAATATTATTTTATAATAAAAGAAAAACTTATAATGTTGTCTCTCACCTTGTTGTGACGTGCGATTCCGTGATAAAGAAACGATAGACGCATGTTCTTTTTGAAGATGATTTGTCGGAGCAAGGACGCACACATTCATGATAATTATCTATTTTTTCTTTTAATGAGAAATGAAAAACTGTTTAATCTTCATAAACGAAATACTGCACATTTTTATATTGGATAATTTTATAAAAATATTAATCACAACTGATCGATATGCATCGTTAATGATCACCATATTAATTTCATTAAGCTAAAAACACGCAATCTTGCATAAGGGAGCAATGACATATGAACCAAGAAATTTTTTGTATTTTTCTTCAAGACGATACAGTGTGCTTTTGTAGAGAACAATACTAGAAAATAAATATTTATTGACAGTAAAAGATTTCACTCACCAAATGTTTCAAGACATAAAGTCGAAATTGGAGAAAAAACAAACGTTAAAACTATGCAATAACGAAGGCACGACATGGTGGCCCAGAATATCTGTTGAGACCGAGCATGTAACATAAGTTTGAGCGCTCCTGCATGAATCTAAGTCGACGACCGACTCGGCGAGTGAACGCTTCGCGAACGGCTTCCTACTTGAGGAAGTGGGTGAAAGCAAAACTTACGCTACAAAGTAGTACAATTCGGGGAAGATTGCCTCTTACTTCTCTTTTCACAGATGTATTCGTATAAACAGCTTTATTCCATTTACATCATTTAATAAATATTGTTAGTAGTTTGGTAATAGAGAGAGGGGAAAGAGATTGTTTTTTTCTGTTTCTTTTTTCACAAAAAATAAAAAAGTTGATGGTTAATGTAAATAGATAGATAGGTTTATATGTATAAGCATTCACATATATAAATTTGTATGACTTATAATACATATATATATATATGCTATATTTAATTAATACTTTTATGACTTATACTAGTTATTTTATGTAAGCTGCATACAGGTATGTATGTTCTCATATACGGATGCTTTCCAAAGACACATTACACAGTGTGACACAGTGCAATTACATCTTTGTTCGCCAATGTTAAACAAAGATGATCACTGTATTGTACTGAATTATTTGTTGGAAGGCATCTATGTATGAATGTATGTGTGCGCGCGCGCGCGTACACACACACACACACACACACACACAAATATATATATATATACACTAGAATTTATGAAAAAAAGTTTGTATTATATGTACATATAGTTCACCTAGTTAAAAGGAGATTGGCTTTGTAACACTTTAAACTGCACAATGGTATTCCGGTTTTCGAACATGAATATCTTTTGGGATTTTTACATTGCTTTACCCCGCAAAGGATTTGTTTTGGCGGATTTTTCCTAAAATATTGAATTAAGGATACATAAATGTTGCGTCCTAAATGTCAGTATAGAAAATGATAATAGTAATAATTCTGTCATACTCTTTAGCAGAAGAAAGTGGAAAATTTTCACCGGGAGGTAAAGATATAGAACTTCCTTCAATCGTTAAGCGATACGTCACTAATGGTACTTGTCGTCTAGATAATCTTCCCTTACTGATAACTTTGGATGCTTTAGATTCTTGCTTCTTAAGCAACCTTTCCATTGTCTTTTTCTATAAAAATAATTCAAAATTTTTAATTTCATACAATTTACCCATTATTAAACATAATGTTGTTTGTCATCAAAAAAAGCTTTTTGTTATTTACTACCTTATCTTTTTCTCTCTTTTCATCAGCAAGTTGTTTCCGTTTCAGAGACTTTAGAGCAGCCTTTTGTATAGCTTCGGCAGTCATGACTTTTTCTTTGTAACCAGTAGGTAACGACATGAGTTGTTCGACACCTGGATTCGGCTCTGTATCAGTCTTTCTTTCGAACATTGCTCTTTGTCGTGCTGTCATTAACTTTGGATCTTTTGGCTTAATTTTTTTTAATTCGTCATCGACCTAGAATAAAATACAAACGCAAGTTTTTTTCTCTCTCTCTCTCTCTATTTCATTATCTTATTAGTTATCATTGAGCATGATCAGATGTAAAGATATGGGAATAATAAATGTCATACAATTGTTTTTGTCTTACTACAATAAATAGAACAGAGGAAAAAAATACCTCTTCCAGTTTACCAGATTCAATAGCGTCAAGCCATCTTTCTTCTTCGCTGCTAGTTCCACTATCTTTACCTTTGTTACCTTTTGGAATTTTTTTTTTTGCAGCTACTTTCGGACAAGGTGCAGTACTTATCGCAGCTGAGTTCAAACCACATGTTTTTAATAATTTTTCACGTTTATCCAAACTAGAAAATAATATAAATTATTGCACATGTGTATATTATGTATGTATGTATGTATGTATATATATACATATATATACAAGGAATATTCATGAAATTACAGGAATATTCATGAAATTAAACGTGATGTATTGCTACAAGCAAATTAATGAAAATCCTTTTTTTTCTTAGCAAAAGATATTGATAAAGACCATTACTTATTCAAACTTGACATGACACATATTTTTTTATTTAACTTTGAAATTGAAACTTTTAACAGAAATTAGCTGAAGGATATAATTATGTATGATTAATTCCTTTAGCTTTCTGCAATACAATGCACAAAAAAAAAGTATAAGAAAAAATAAACACCATATAATAGACATACCTCCGTTCATCTTCTTTTTTCATTTTTATTCGAAAGCTTTTCTTCCTCTCAGCATCGGTTGAGATTTCTACAAAGGCGTCGCTGTCATCATGCATGAGCTTTTTTTTCTTGTGCTTTTTATGTTTATGTTTCTTGTGTCTTTTCTGCGGCGAGACATCATTTGTATCTAATAAAATTCAATTAATATTAGTAATCTCAATGTAAATTATTATGATATACATTATTGTATAACATACATTGTTACATACGCATACAAAAAATTGAATTACCTAAATTTATCCGAACAGAATTACCTAAATTTATCTCCTCTTCCGTACTTACATCTCTTGGCTTACCCATTAGATCAAAAACAGCCAAACAATTTATCCGTCACACGCCAAGATTGGAACTGCGTAAGGATAAATATGTAGATCTGTTCACTCTGATACGGAAAATTAGAAAATGTATGTATTATATATCATGTACTCGTGAATATAAAAATGATATTTAAAGATGCGTGATACAGAGGTAACTGTATTAAAACTGTTTTGATATTTTTTAAGGTTAGGAAATTTCATTGCGTGTTTAAAGGCCCGTCTACAATGCACGGAGTAAGAAGTAAGAG